GCTGTTTGAATTCATCAACAAGGTATTGGTGCCAAGGACAGAGAAAAGAACTGTAGCATCTGTTGCTAATCTATTTCTCATGGAAAAACTGGATGAACTTGAGGAAATCAACCTTCCTGACCTATAAGTTGGCCAAACATGGCATTCCTTATGGCTATTTGTTGAACTATGTGTTCAAACATTTTGAAGTGCCTCTTGGTCGTGGATTACCTGGTACTGTTAAGCAGACGTTTACTGTTGTTACTTTCTTAGAGCGTGAGTGTGTTGAGGGCAAGGCAAGGGGTAGGTCTCAAGTAGCAGATCTTTTAGAACAACAAGCCTCTCTCAAAAGAGAGTTGACCGACCTTGCAGCAATTCTGATTGATAAGGAAGTTGAAATTGCCCAACTTAAAGCTCAGTTGCAGAAGGCTATCTTCAAGGGACCTTGTACCAGTGTCGTGGATGTAAAAGAGGTCGAGAAGTTGAGAGCTGAGAATGAGCAGCTGCTGAAGACAAATGCCTCACTCGATGAGGAAGTCAAAGCTCTCAACAAGCAAATCATTTAAGCTCATGTTGATGCAAATGAACGAATGTCTTTGCTGATATGAACTCTTACTCCCCATCCCCCTCCCCCTCCCCCTCCGTCCTAAATGAGTCTTATATTATTGTCCTCCTCACCTCTGTGTCAAACACTCTAGTGGCTTTGTGTACTGTTTTGGCTGATTCTTGTGGTAAGCTTTGATAATCTAATGATATTTCTATTTGTGCCATGTTCATGCTTTGATATTCTCTTTTATGCTTACCTATACATGTTCTGTGTGGCCCATGGCCCTGAATCCTTAAATGTTTTGCATGCAACTTGTATATGTTTATTGTCATTCCTTTTCAATGATGTCAAAAGAGGGAAATTAAGGTGAATAGTTGTGTGAAATTAGAAGGGAACTGAACTAAGGGGGAGAACAGTGATAGGGGGAACAACGATAGGGGGAATTAATGTATTTTTGAATGAATGCTTAACACTCATATAAGGCAGCTTCTAAGTTGTTTGTCATCATCAAAAAAAGGGAAAATGATAAGTTTTAATGCTCCCAGATGTTTTGATGATCTCCTCACAATTGCAGGGACCCGGTACTCTGCAGAGTATGCTCGTCCAAATCATATGTTGTACAGTTGGAAAGTTGTCCGCGTCAGAAGCTGGTGAAGTCGTCAGAGTACTACACCAATCAAAAGGGATGAGGTTGTTTGTCTAATGTGTATTAACTCTTGATGTTGATATATTCAAGACAACAAACAACAAACTAACTCATTCATTCAAAGAAAGAAATTCAAGCTTCAAAACAACAAGGGACCTAATAGATTGCATTATTGCTGCCTGAATCAGCTGTTACTTTGATTGCTTGTATTTGTACATATATTGTAAGAATCGTTTCGTTGTCATAGAAACGTTTCAACCTTGGGTGAATCTTTGTAAGAACGTAGTTGTGGGCAACTTAGTGTCTTACGTCAAAGTCTATATTAATCAATTGGGTTAGTATAGTAGGCAATACAGGAATTGCTTTGGCTCATTAAGTGATAGTGTATTACTCAGGATAAAGATTAGTAGGTTAATCTCGTGTGTGTTGTAAACTGGGTTTTACTTTGGCTTGTGAAGTTTAGTAAAAGCATTTTGAAAAATCATGTGAGACAGGTCGTGGCTTTACTCCCTTGAGCAAGGAGGTTTCCATGTAAAGTTGTGTGTACCTTCTTTACTTTCAGTACTTATTTACTTATGTTATTGTAATCGTGCTAAGGACCTGGTCCTATCGTAACTAAGTGGACGCATACATTCCAACAAAATATAAATTAACTATGAAAAAATAGGATACATGCTTAAGAAATACAAATCTATTTGGCATACCTATTGAAATGACTACAAACTAAAAAAGAAATAGAGAAAATGGTTAAATGACCCCCCAATCTATTAGTCAATTCTCGACTACACATTTATACTTTACGGGGGTCCTATTACCCCCCTAGACATTTTAAAAGTGGAATATATCCCCCCTTAAAAGGTCACACCCAGATTTGTGGTAAGTGGTGGGCCACACGCGCAATGCCATGTAAATATATTGTACTTTTTTTATTAAAATTTTATTTTTCTACTTTTTATTCTATTTCCCTTCTATATTTGTTTTCTTTTCTATTTCAACCATTCATCTTTTCTTTGACTACAAATTTCCTGCCATTAAAGTGGAAATTCCAAGTTCCATTTCTAAAACCTCAAAAATTTTAGTTTCTTAATCTTTGTTTGAATTATTTTCAGAGAAGTTCTCAATTTTCTTATACAAGCCAATCTTGAATATCTAAGTTTGGTATTTAATGGGTGTTCTCTGATGAGAATATTGTTGGACTTTGGGAAGCTAAAAAATGAAGTATATTTGAATGAGATAAGAATTTGATTGGTGAAATCCTTGAAAGTTTACGGATTTTCAAAGTCGTAAACATATTGATTTGACTCACAATAATTTAAAAGGAGAAAATCTTATGGGTTGTTCATGTTAAAGAATTTGATGTTGATATACTTGTATAGTAATCACTAATCAACTTTCGGATCTGGTTCGAAACTTGGTTTCTTCAATTTTGTGCGTTGTTATACTTGAAGTAGTAAAAATTTAGCTGTAAAAGATACTAATTTTGACTTTGATGCTTTGTTATTTTATTTACTCAACTGGGTTTCCTCTATATTGTTCAATTTTGTGTTCTTGTGCTTCAACTTATGAACACTTAGCTATGCAAAAGTGTTGATTTTTAATTTGATCTCGTATTTTCCTAATTTTTTCTAGTGAAGTCGATTTCTTTTGAAAAAAGAAGAAGAAATTAAAGGAGATAGCGTTAGTAGTAACTATTATTAACAGTGAGGTGATTTCATACTTTTTTCAAACAATTTAAATCAAACAGCGTGTTGAAGAGATAGAGAAAGAAGAGAAAGAAAATAAAATGGAAAAGATAAATAAAAGTAAATATTAGCATACATAAATTTTAAAAAAATTCAGAAAATTAATATGAAAAAGAAAAATAAGAAAGTTTGCATCTCACTCTCTTGGAGAAGGTATATTACACTTTCTTTGCCAACTCAGCATTAGGGAGCAAATAATTCTACTATAAAATAGTTCAAGGGGGTAATAGAACCCTCCTAAAATATAAGTGTGTAGTTGAGAACCCCCTAATAGAATGAGGGGTCATTTGGCCATTTTCTCAAAGAAATGTAATGTTCTTAATACAAATACAAATGTTGAGTAAAAGAACAATAATTGACAAACAAAATTAATATGAATACAATTCTGGTATGAATACAATTTTTGCAACCTTCATCTGACTCTCTCTTTCTTCTTCTTCTTCTTCTTCTTCGTCGTCGTCGTCGTCTGTTATGTTCCTTTTTTCTGATTTTTTGTTCACCAAATCCAAATCTGAAAATCCGTATTTACTTGTGCATAAGTAACTCTATAAGAAAAATTCGAAATTATTAGATATGAATGTATAAAAAATTAAACATTATATGATGTATAATGTAGATTTCTACGATCAACTAAATCTCAAATATGAAAACAAAATTACAAAAAAATCGAACAATATTGCTTAAAAGACGAAAAGTATGAAATACATAATAGAGGAAAATCTGACAAAATACTTGGTGAATATGAAAACAAACTCACAAAAAAAATTAAACAATACTGATTAAAAGACAAAAAATTTGAAATACAAAATACTTGGTGAATATAAAAACAAAATCACAAGAAACTTCACAAAATACTTGTTGACTTCGAATTTACTTTATCAATGGGTGAAGAATAATTTGAATTAATTGTGAGATTTCTTAAACAAGTGTAGGAAATTTGAAGAGTTGATTTTCTTGAACAAAGAAAAGAGATAGCAATGGTGAAAAAGAGAAGAGAGAGAAAAAAGTGATTTGAGGTAAAACCTAGAAAGATGGGTAAGTGGGTGATGAATTTTTAATATTTTTACGGGATAGTGAAATAAATAATGACCTAATTTGAGAAATAAAAGGAATGAAGATTAATTATATTATGATTCAATTTGTTTTCTAAAATATTGACATTTTAAATAATTATTTTAAAGTGTAGATATTTTTAATAATTATGATAAAGATTGTGACTAGTTTGCTAATTTTCGTTAAATAAATTATAAACTGCCCATTAACCACCAATTAAATTAAAAGAAATTACTTAATAAATACATGTTAACTAATTAACTGTAGTTATCGAATAGTTTAAAATTCTCAAACCAACTTCACAAATTGTTCAAAATTAACTCGGGGAACTATCAAGAAGGGTAGGATAGTAATATTATAAAAATTTACAAAAATGATCTTTCCAGTCATTACACATTCAAATACCCAATTCCTTAGAAACTAGTCTTGCTTAATGCAATTCAGTATCTTAACTTTATTCCTTTTATATACATTTATTTTATTAATTAACATGATAACATTCTAATTAAAGCCTTTAAGTTTATTCAATATACATCAGTTTTAAATTGCAAAGTACAAATACAAAAATTACATCTAATGTTGCTAATAGGCTAATCTACGTACGCAACCATTGCTTCGATCTGGCGTTTTGGCCATAAATTTTGTCAAAGTAATATTTAAAAAAAATATTTTATCGTAAAATTTTATAGTTTGATCGCTAAATATTTTTAAATTTTGTACTTATAAAACTTTAAAAATTAATATTGAAGTAAAATGCATATCTAAATACAATTTTAAATTTCTAAATTTCAACTTAAATTCATAATCTATGGTCAGATGGGAGCTAACAAGGTCATTGTTTGATCATAAATTTTAAATATTTTTTCTTTTGTGAAACTCTTTTACCAAATTTCCACCGTTAAAACTCAAAATCTCAATCAACGGCGCCAAAAGGATTTCAAACTCTTTTACAAAATTTCCATATTTCCCGCCCTCTATCTCTCAGTATAAATACCTTCATTACCCATTTCTCTAATTCATCATTTCAGAACTCTACTTTTTCTCTGTATTCATTCAGTTTCAAATGGCCCGTACTAAGCAAACAGCTCGCAAATCTACAGGTGGAAAGGCACCAAGGAAGCAGTTAGCTACCAAGGCTGCAAGAAAGTCAGCTCCAGCAACTGGAGGAGTGAAGAAGCCTCACCGTTTCCGCCCAGGAACTGTGGCTTTGAGGGAGATCAGGAAGTATCAGAAATCTACGGAGTTGTTGATTAGGAAGCTTCCATTTCAAAGGCTGGTGAGGGAAATTGCTCAGGATTTCAAGACAGATCTGAGGTTTCAGAGTAGTGCTGTTGCTGCTTTACAAGAGGCTGCTGAGGCTTACCTTGTTGGTCTCTTTGAAGATACTAATCTCTGTGCAATTCATGCTAAGAGGGTCACGATCATGCCTAAGGATATTCAGCTTGCTAGGAGGATTCGCGGAGAAAGGGCTTAAGAATAAACGTTTTAGGGTTTAAAGAAAATTTGTGTTCAATGGTTTTGCTTAGATCTGTTGATGGAAGTTGGAATGCTATGCTTGGTAGTGTACATCTATAGATGCTTTCAGTTGTAGTATGTGTAAACTGGTGGTTTACTAGAATTTTGGAATCTGAGTAATGAAATCTGTACTCTGTTTTGTTCAATCAAAGATATTGCTATTACATCTATGCGTTATTTCCCAATCATTGAAGTTTGAATTATTGTTAGTAGCTATGGTGAATTATTTTTGCTTATTAAGAACCTTTTCTATATCAGTTTTTTAATAGAAATTTATCATTATCCAATGTTATGGGTTGAACTTATACTGCATTTGACCTGGTAGTAATTTAATGAATTTTCTATTTGAGTTTAGCTTCTGGCAAAATGAGTTGTGGTGCTGCTGCTGTTGTATTTAAGGTGAGATTGGTCTATTATGAGGCTCCTCAGCTCCGGCAAGTTTTAGGTAAGTTTTGAATTTGTATGGCTTTTGAATACTAGTTGCTTTGGGCTAGTTCAGTACTATGCTTATCTAAGTTTAAGAGTTGTGTGGCTTCATGATATTTTATGGTATTATGGTGAGAGAAGTATGCTGAGGTAGACCTGCTTTTGTTTTGGTGAGTCATCTAAAAGATTTTTGAAATGACTTTCTTGCTATGTAATTTCACTTTTTGTTTAGTATAGTACTTTTGCTTGATGTTACTTTGTGACTTGGTTATTGGATCAATATTCAACTTTTGCTAGAGAAATGATTCCTGGCCTGAACTTGTGAACTGATGTTTGCCCTTATGTACAATGATCTGATTGATGAGAATGCCAATCTGAATTGATTTGTGAAAGAATTGATTAACTTGTGTATATCTGATGACTCGTTTCATACAAGTATATGCAAATGGCTTGTTTTTTAACATTTGAGATATAACTAGTGATACCACTAGTTTGTATTACTCAAAATTGAATGTCTTGACTGGCCCCCAAGGCCTAGCTCAAGTGGCAGAAGGTGGAGGATTTGTGGCTTAGGTCGCAGGTTCAAGCCCCACACCATGCAAAGCGAAGCCCGGTATTTAAGTGGAGAAGGGTAGAGGGGTGGGCCCATTATCTACCGAGTTTAGAAGGCTGTGATTGGTCCAAAGGGCGGGTCACAGACGGATTTCTCGGTTATTAAAAAAAAAATTGAATGTCTTGACTGTATATATAAATTTGCCAACAATTGAAGACTGAAACACTATTTTGTGACGAGGCTTTGGTTACACATACAGAAAGTTACTCTATCTAGAATTGGGGAATTTACGTATCTTTCTTTTTGAAATGGTATAAATTTTTATTACTTTTACCTTCTGATATTTGGGTATGAGGAATTTGCATTTAGGTACTTATTCAGTGCTTGCTGTTGCCATGTATTTTGGGGAGGAATAAATGTATCCAGATCCCAGAATACTATCACAAAGAACTACTTGACATTTGTTATGGTCGAAAAAATCCTGATAACAAAATGCACTTTTGTTTATGTAGTAGGAAAATGGAATAACATTACTTTCTGCCAAGATTTGAGGTACTTTTAATTCAACATTGACTCACAAAGTCTTCACTTTGTGGCATTGGTATTTTACAAGCTAAGCTGTGTTCCCTTTTATCAGTTGTCTGAAACTGAATATTATCTTTGTTATCTAAATGCTAGTGTATTTTTTCAGTATTTCACTCAATATCAATGGTTATCGACTTTTGTGCTAAATAGACCTCGTACAAGCTTCCTAATTGCATATTTTTTTGGCCAACAGTCATTATATATGCTGAAGTATACTTGAGAACACCAGACTGCTAGAGAGATTGTGGACTTCTTAGACTGACTTTGATACTTCAGAAAAATTAAGTTATGTTTGGAAAAGAGGACACTGCCTTTTCTCTCTATTGTTCTTTAAGGTGTTGAATAATTCAGTCTCTTGTCTTACCTCAGATTGTTGGTCTGTTTTACCTGGGAGAGTTTTTGTTTTTTAAGCTTGAGTCTCGACTTGAAGTACTCAGCTTATGTGTAGATTGCAAATGGTTCAATCAGCGGTTGGTTCTCATTATTAATACTTTCGCAACTGAAGAAGGTAAGATTTTATTCTGAATGTGTCAACAAAGTGATGGAACCAGTCAAATTAATCTATTGGGACAAGTAGTGTACAGTCATATACTTGCTACAAAGATCATGTCAGGATTATGTAGGTTAACAGTTATTGAGACTAGAGAGATAAATAGCATCCTGATTCCTGATTGTGCATACATCAGTGTAAGGAAAGTATGAGTAAACTATGAGTTGGATTAAGATGATAAAAACATATAACGAAATTCTATATTACTTCAAATAAAAAATAGTAATCATGTAGTTATTACAATATATATTGAATCATCAGAATATCAAAACCTCTTCCTATTCCTATTCCAGCAGCGTCTAGTAGCAGGAGGGTCATTAGGAAGTTTAGGCATATCGTGGTGATCAACCATTATGATCCGTCTCTTGGCTGTCTTTTGCTCTGCTAACCTTTCCTCAAATTTCCTCTTACTTGATTCAAATTTCTTTATTTCATTGATGTTTTGTGTTTCTTTTTGCATTGGTGCAGAGCTCTGTATTGGTCTTGTAATTGCACTGCAGTTGCTGTGTTGATGAGGAGGGGCTTGTACTCGCTCGGTGGCCACATTCATCTTCTTCAATGACGCTGACATGGTCTTGGTTAAACCACTGGTGCACTGCTTTCTTGCTGTTGATCCCATCCTGTGTTGAGTAGGGGTCTTCTTTTCTGTGTCACTATCAATTCTTTTCTGTTGAATCCGGTCAGTCTCCATCTTCTTGAAACCTTTTTGACTCTGTTTGTTGAGTTGTTTGTGTCCATCAAGCTCCTTCTCGAAAGAAAAATCAGAAAGAAGTTTTACACGAGGAGCAACTTGTACATGTTTGGTGGACATCCTCTTTGTTGATCCCATAGTAGTAGTATTATGAGATTGTTGTTGTGTTCCTTCTTTAAGACCATCCAAGTCATGTGTCTCGGGTGTTATCTTCAACTCTTGAGTAATTGCATTGCTATTGTTGTGGTTTTCCAGAGGAGCAACTTGAACAGTTTTGGAGTAAGTTATTCTAATTTTGAGTGGCTTTGTAATCTGCTTCTGGCTCTGCTGTGTTTCTTCCTCAGCATTGGTCACTTTATCTTCATCACGAACGACACTGTCTTCTTCCTCAAGAGTAGTACTGGTATCATCGTCTTCTTCCTCAAGAGTAGTAGTGTCGTCATCTTCATCGAAGGTACTGGGGTTGGATATCATCCTGATTATCCTGTTTTTGCGCTTGTGAAATTGATGAGGATATTTGATTCCAGCAACTAGGATAGCTTCTTCAATCATGTGGCATATATCATAAGGCTTCTTGTCGATATAATTCCATTTCATGAATACTTCTTCGATATCATCCATTCTTACACACTCTCCCTAAGCTCTCACTTTTTTGTTTGTTTAATCAACATGACTCAAAGCTCCCTTATATAGGAAATTTTAGGAACATATTTGGAAATAAACCTTATATGAAATTTTAGGAACATATTTGGAAATAAACCTTATAGGAAATTTTAGGAACTTCCTTTCCATTTCCTAAAAGATATTTAAAAATAAATCTTTACCCCCTACAAATTATTAACCTTTACTTTTTCTACACAAAATAGGACTAGGAGTGCATAGACGGTTTCTTCAAGGGATTAACATATTTTCCATATATGCTACTTATTTTTTAGTTACACCAATTTTCACCCCTTTATTTCCTAAAAGAAATTTACCTATTATTCGGTTTAATAGTAAAACGTATTTTATCAACTAAATATTACTCCTCTTGAGTAAGTTTACAGGGTAAATAGGAGAATATTTTACCTATAAAAAAATATATTTTTTGTTAAAGAAAATATTTGTCCAATAAATAATATTGACTTGATGCAGAGGTTATTAAGAAATAAAGGAAGACTTTGAAAAATATAATTATAAATTGGATGATCATTTGAGAAACTCGAAAGTTTAATTAGTAGGTGACATGACATACCGATACCACATTATCATTTAGGCATACCGTAAAGTCAAAATTTCATTTTTTTCACCCCTACCCTCGATCCCACCCCCAGCCCCCACCCCGACTCCCCCCACGCCCAAAAAAAATTCTAAGTTTGTTTTTAAAAAATATTTTTATATGAGTAAAAATCAAAATTATCTAATGCGTGTTTACAAAATTAACTAGGATAATCTCAATTTCAAACTGTGCTCTATATATCCTACCTCTATCTATCTCGTTAAAGGTTAAATGTTCTACATCAAATAATACAAGGATCAAAAGCAAAATAAAGTATATTTCGGGGACCAAAAATGTTATTTTCCCTTATTTACCTATGTCATTAACATGTATCTGGACGTGTCAAATACATATATTCAAGGTGCGAATTATTATAGAATTGGTAATATTGTAAGCTCACAGGAAGAAAGGTAATTAACTCCTAAATAAGTGAAATTTGTATTGTATAGTGTTTACTCTTTTTTTTTATAATTCCCCATATATTGTGAAGTGGACATAGATATAGCACAAATTTCTATATAAATTAGAATTATTTAAAGGGAAAAAGGATAAATATACCCCCGAACTTTAATAAATGGTACGTCTATATCCTCCATTATACTTTTCGTCCATCTCAGCTCTTGTCGTCCAATAATCGGTGCACATTTGCCCCTCCCACTAACGGCGCTCTCTTTATGTACACGTGGCAAAATCCTAAGCCACTACTCTTTTAACCCAAATCCTAAGAACCCGCTCCATAACCCAATAAACCCACCCGATTTGTGGGTAAAATATACTCTCTAAAATCTAAAGACCCAAATCCTAAGTCACTTTCGTTCATCTCACAAACCCTAGCCTAGTTCATCAGATTTTAGAGAGTTCATCGGTGCAGTTGCTGCCTCAAATGCAGACAGTTT